CCTCCGGACCCTGCGCCCCCAGCCGGGCACTTCCCCTCCCAGGCTCCGGCGGCGCAGGGTCCAGAGGCATGGGGGCTGCCCGAAGCCGGTAGCGCTCGGGCAGCCCGGCTCTTAAACAGAGCCAAAGAGTCAGGGGAGGAGCAGAGCCGCCATTTTCCCGGACATGTTTGAGTGCCGAAAAGCCGGACATGTCCAGGAAAAAGGGGACGTATGGTAACCCTAATCTACACAGCAATTTTTAGAGTGAGCCCTGCTAGCCCGAGTCTATTGACCCGGACTGGGAGGCACACTTCTGCAGGCTGTGAAGACAAACCCTCAGAGAGTGCAACAACTCCTGCTTCCTCTTTGGCTATAAGCTGTCTTGTGGTAAGTCACTGAGTATATGCCAACAGAGGTAAAGACTGAGGTCTGAAGCAATGTCAGTCAAACTGCACACCTAAATTGAGTGTCCTGATTGGCCGCAGTGTAGTTCAGTCTTAACTATATTTCACCATTGCAAACCCATGCAAATCTCTGGCTCAGAGACGAACAGGCTTATGTAAACTCTAACTTTCTACTTCAACATGGTCCAGTTCATGGTTAACTTAATCTTCACCTTTGACCTGTTGTAGGATCCATTGGAACTGAACATTTATTTTAAGTATGTAATGACAAGTTAAGCAGAAGTCACATAACACACACACACACACACACATATCCCACACTTAGAATGTCACATTATATGACTTTACTGCAGTATATATGTTAATCCCAGTATTCTATACCACTGTAGGCAGCGGCTATTTTTTTTTCCTTGTCACCCACTGTAACTCAAAGTCACTTCAGGCCTCTTTGTTTTTTTTATGCTGCAGTCCTGGAGAGCTAGAGCTGATGCAATAGTTTTCTTCCAACTGTACAGCAAATGCTTATCTCCTGATGAAGTTGTCCATGAATAGCCTCTCCACAGGTCAGTGAGGAATACATTTTTCAAAGAAGGAAACCTCTCTCCTGTCTGTAAAATTTATTCACCTGTTTTATTACATATTATATATAAATTTGGATTACAATGAAAATGACGTTATATTTTTAACATACATTTTCTAAGAAACTGGAAGTTACAGATGTCAGGCATTAGTCCCCAAATCAAAGACTCTCTGGATTCATTTTGCTTTGTGTTTATTTCTTCCTATCTCTTTTTTATTGTCTCCTAAGACTCTTGTTACATACAAATCTTGGAAGTAATTTACTTTACATTCTAACTTTAGTGGCCATATGGAGTTTTAATCCGTCTCATGCCTCAAGGATGTGTGAACTAGAGTGTTGATTTACCCAGCCAGATAAGTGACTAGCACTCAAGTTGTTTATGTGAGTTAATCTGCTCTGTGAGACTGATGGTCATTGTTGAGGCAAGGTTTCTTTCTCTACCTTAACATACTGAAATATTATGGGTTTGTAAAGTTAAGGGGGGAGGAATGGAAAGAAGGGTAATTACTAAGATGACAAATCAGGAGGACACAGGAGTGTGCATCAGAAAGGGACAAACCAATTCAGAAGTTCAAATAAACATACAAACATATTTTGGAGACTGGAGAGAGTCAGGTACTTTAGTGGTCAAAACATCTGAAATTGTGGATCTTATTCAAGCTGAACCTCCAAAACTTGTTACCTATCAGTTTTATGCATATAGCATGTGAGAACCGTCCTGTCAATTGGGAGAACCCAATAACAGAACAGTAGGTTACCAAGACAGCTTTCCTCCAAAGCAGTGTTTCTCAAACTTGGGACGCCGCTTGTGTAGGGAAAGCCCCTGGCTGGCCAGGCCGGTTTCTTTACCTGCCCCGTCTGCAGGTCTGGCTGATCGCGGCTCCCACTTGTCGCGGTTCGCTGCTCCAGGCCAGTGGGAGCTGCTGAAGCGGCGGCCAGTATGTCCTTCGGCCCATATTCAGTCAGAGCGGTAGTTCTCAACCTGTGGCCCAACCAGCACACAGCTGCAGCCCATGTGACATCCTCAGGACCATACAGGTAGTATTGGATGCAGCCCACAATGGTAAATAGGTTGAGAACCTGAGTTAGAGCATAGTTCGTTAAGGTTAACTACTCTCCACTGTCCCTGTTCTGGTAGCAGAGATGACGCATATCTGTTCATAGTGGGGAGTCCACAATTTAAAGATGCTGGTGGTATGCAGCAGAGTTCAGGGCAGGGCATATAAACCCCTGGGGAGAAGGAGGGGCGGCACATGGTCACCTCTGTCTGGTAGGGATGTGCTATGTCCCTTGTCAGCAAATGGTAGATTCCACATTCATGTAGTGGCATTCCCCGATACAATAATTTCTTCATAACATGAACCAGTACGTCCCTTGGCCCGCGCCGCTTCCAGCAGCTCCCATTGGCCTGGAGCAGCGAACCGCGGCCAGTGGGAGCCGCGATCGGCCGGACCTGCGGACGGGGCAGGTAAACAAACCGGCCCGGCCCACCAAGGGCTTTTTCTACACAAGCGGCGTCCCAAGTTCGGGAAACACTGCTCCAAAGCAATGCTCAATTGCGAGCAAGGGTTTGATCCAGCTTCTCCTTAAGCACTTCATATTTTATCCCTATTTTTCACGGCTACTGATTTTTTAAAAGGTACCGTATTTTCCGGCGTATAAGACGACTGGGCGTATAAGACGACCCCCAACTTTTCCAGTTAAAATATAGAGTTTGGGATATACTCGCCGTATAAGACTACCCCTCTTCCAACGCACACCAAATAAAAATTAAAAAAACATCAGATTTGATTTCAATATGGTAATTTTGCAAGATCTGAGAGGCAGAGAAGGAGGTACGGTAATAGGATA